CCACGCGGAAATTTAAAGCGGCCAAATAATCGAAACGCGTGTTGTTGATTCTAATTGTGGAGGGGAAAACCAGAGAAAAATGCACACGACCACAGGGAGAAGATGCAAACTGCTAATATACAGGCGTCTGGGTCGGGATGAATCCCACGACCTCCTGCATACCAGTTGAGGGAGTTAACATCTCGCCACCAGCCGCTCGCCGCATCGGCGGCAAAACATCTCAATGCAGGACTCAAGAAAAACACGTTTTAGACCACTGGCGGCTTATAAGGAGAACTGTAAGTTGTGTTTGGGCAACGCATCGTGATTCAACATGAATGAGGGCCTTGCGAGGCACGATGCTGCATCGTGCGGCACGGCTCCATACACAGTGATGGTTGTATTTCTGCGAGACGATCTGAGTCACAAGGTCATCTGTGACTCGGATGCATGGAGACAGCTGCCATTGGGGGGCCCCTGAGCGAGACGCAGAAGGGCATTGGAAAGGTTGAGATGAGATGTGATTGATGTAAGGCGCGTTGAGTTGCTACACCACTGACGCGCCATACAAATGCAAGTCCTAAACCTGTTGCCAGGGAACATAGAGAATGTGTGTTCTAAACCTCCAGCTTGTTTTCCCTCCCCTTCGTAATGAACTCCGATTAGCGCGATTGGCTACGTCGGGTGAGAAATAAGTTCAGCATACGTACGTACAAACTCTCTATGATGAACTTTAAATGTCCCATTTCCTAAAAGCAAGTGGTGAATTTTGTGGAATGCAAAATATTACTGGCCATTGCTTGTCTTGTATTACAATAGCAGGCCTTTAAGTTTGGCTTTCAAGATATATATACTGTACATAACAACCAGTGGTAGTAGTAATTCCCCTTGAGAAAACGAAAGAAAATTTGCATTCGCTCAACTTATATAATGGATTACACATTAAGCATTTGCTTTGATCCGACTAGCACGTTTGGCTACATACAGTGCGAAAGTTCAACATACATACTAATGATCACTAATGATGCGTGTTCATTCTTTACATTAAGAGTCAGATGGGTTTATTTAAATTTCCACGATGGCTTTTGGGAATAATGCTCCCCAATTCAGTTCAACTCTGTTACAAATCACATAGAAAGATTCATTTATTTAAAAAAAAACTTAACCATTTTGACTTCTACAATTCATTGTCAATACGGAGAAAAATGCACTGGTTAATGTCATTGCCTAAAATATTTACACCAAATCTATCTGGTTAATTCCACATTTAAATCTATTTAAAAAAATCTTTGTTGCTGCTTTTGGCTAACCACAGCATTGCACACTTTCAGATGCGCTTCAGCGGCTGGGAGCTATGCACTTTTGAATCTAGATTGAAAACTCATTTCTTTAGAACTGCTTTTTGTGTTTAGTTTGTCATCCTTCCCCCCACGCCTCCGATCATATAGCGCGGTTGTCTATGTACGCTACGTACAAACATGCGGTTAATTCCACGTTGAAATCCATTCAATTTAAGTCGCACTTCAAAATTCTTGCGCCAACTGTCAAGCGAAGGGGCGGGTCCCACTTCCGCCCAGAGTGCACGGGCTCCTCCTGCCAGCAGGGACCAATAAATAAGCACAACACTGGCAGCCGCCTACACTTAAAGCAGGAGGCAGCACGGACATAAATCCAGCGGGAACGAGACCACCCCCCCCCCATACCCCCCCTCAATCAGCCGGTGCTGGCCCAGTGCGAGGGCCGGGTCCCGTGCTTATCCCAAAGCCATTCCAACTGTGGTCGATCGCCTCGGTCGATGGCAGGCGGACAGAGCATCAATCCCACGGTGCCAATTTCAGATTTCAGGGAGCTGTTTGGGAGGAGCCAGTGAGCCCGCGGATTCCCCGGCATGGTGGACGCCCCCCGCCCCCCGCCACAATCTGAGTGACAGCCAGACGAGACGGGCGTGCAGGCGCCGCGGCTTCGTCCATTTCCGAACACAATTTGTACTACAATTTGTACTGGGCGCGTTGCCGACGCACGGATAGCACCGCGGTCGGCCACACGTTTACTTTTGCAGTACAGCACAAAATAGCAACATACGAATACTAACATAACATTGATCCTATTATTTTCTGCGTTATCGGGCACCACAGTGGTGAGATCTTAACTTCCTCGCCTGGTATTCAGGAGGTTGTGGGTTCAATCCCGACCCTGATGCCTGTATATTTGGAGTTTGCATGCCCTCCCCGGGGTCGCGTGTATTTTTCTCCAGGTCCTCTGGTTATTCCCTCCAAATTTAGAATCAACAAGCGTTTAACGTATTTGGCCGCTGCTATAAATGTCCACCTGATAAGCCACTTCGTTCAGCTGTCATTTGTGATAACCAGGTCAATGGGCCTTACCTGGTAAAATAAATATATAAAAATTGTTTAGTTTTAGTTAATAGTGGCTGAATAGTCTAAAGAATGTGAAGATATAATTTGTAAAGTGTAGAGCATATTCACCTCCCTGTTAGGGTGCACAATTATCGGACACTGTGCAGAATAAAAGGGCTTATTGGCGTCAATTACACCTACGACATAATAAAACCATCCGTCATTATTTGACTTGGGGCATTTACTTGCGCCAATTTGCTCCCTGCGCTGTGTAGCCCTGGCTTGCGGACACACTGAAACACCGTGAGCATGTTCGTTTCATGTGGAAGGTGCGCGTGGCACAAGCGCTTCATTAACACGGCAGTTACCCATCCCAATGTAAACTAATATTGACCAACTTTAATTCGATGACAACATTCCGATACTGAAAACAGATAATTAACCTTGCTCTTTCCCTTGAGATGTTTAACATAGATCCACGCATCACAGCAGTGCTCCAGTCAATACCAACACAGGCGTGAACGTTCACCCTGGTTTTGAAATGTTCTCTTTTCAGTCAAGAAATTTTTCCAGTTTCACCGGACTGTTAAATTAGAGGGCATTTCATCAACACTTTCAAAATAATATTTTCATGCATTATTGTTATTTACTGTATGTATTATGAGTTCCAGACACATTGTTAACCCGTCAACATGAGAGGAAAAGGGGTGGCACGCGGGTTACAAATTAATCAACACGTTAACTTTTTGTTGATACGATTCGGGTGATAACCGTGTCGGAAAACGTGACGTGAAAACCTCATCGGAGCAATATTCCTCACAGTATTGCGCAGTCGAGGGCCCCCGGTTTTTCTCCTCCTCCACGTTTAGAGTCAAGGTCACATGTTTGGAGCATTTGGCTGCCGCTATAAATTCCCCACAAGATAATAAGACACTCCCGTTGAGCTATCGTTTGCGATGGCCGGGTAACGTCTCAGTGGGGCCTTAAGCTGGTAAAAAAAAAATAGTTCATAGTTTTGTGTAGTTTCGATTTACATTATTACCTCGTGATTACGAACCATACTTAATTTTAACGAGGATACGTGTACAAATGCGTACTTACACATAAGTGTGGCGATGCATTGTTGTTCACCATGTCTTTTTTTGCAAAGGCCCAGTTCAAATTTGTCAATAACCTCATTATAGGGAACAATCTGAAAGAGTAAACTTTGCGTTTTATTGATGACACCAATGTGTGCACATTCGCAGGGTTCAATGCCAATAGCCTCGTGAAAAAGATTCAGATTGAGACCTTAAATATAAATGCAATGTTACTTGCAAGCCAGGTTAGGAAGCCATTTGAGGTATGCACTTTTAAATCTAGATTGAAAACTCATTTTTTTTAGAACAGCTTCTCATGTTTAGTTTGTTGTCCTTCAGCCGCGCCTCCGATGAGCACGGTTGGCTACGTACGGTGCGAAAGATGTTCAATGTATATACATCTCGATGCACTACAGTAACCAAAATTGACAGAAAGCGAACACGCACGGAAGGATATGTTTTTTTAAGCCATCAGTTTCCTACTTTACTTTGCCAAGTGGACCTTCCCAGGGCCTCTTCATTTCCACCATCACTCTTGCAGGCCTCTTTAAATCTGAAGGTATGCTCTCTCAAAAGCGGGCCACTGAATGCCAACGTCTTATTTCCACCTCTTACAGCAGGCTCTTTCAGGTGCCAATTACCACGCATTCGGCAAAAGTGGCATATACGAACCTGGACTGGGTCATTCTTAAGTCGACAGCCTAACATGCAGCTGGTGCATGGTGCCGTTCATGCTCCTCATGATGAGCAAGCAAGGGTAGACAACAGCCAGCTGCGAGCGCTGTTGGCCCCACGATTTGTGCCAGGCCTATAACAGGTGCTCGGCAAGACACATTTGTATCGCCACGCATCTACGTGGCGCAACACAGGTAATGTTTGAGTGGGCGCCGGCAGAGGGCAGGCAAATTATTATGGTTAAATACATATTTTAGAACGGCTTCTCTTCTCATGATTTATTGTATTCACGACATATTTCTTATGCTATAATACACTGACTGCGCGAGGCTGTGCTTTATTTTGAGCGCAGTTGCACTTTGCTTTGCTCAGTCAGTATTAGCCAACCGAGGTCATGACGGGGGTTGTTTTATTTCTATTCCCGTATTTCCATACGTCCGGATCGTTCCTGTTCTGCTGTCATCTGCATTGACGCCCACTTTCTCGAGGGCGATACGAGCACGTAAAATAAAGACTGACCGAGTGGTTTGTGCACAATGAGCGTGCGCGCTTGCGCGCAGATGTGGGGAGCGTCAAGCGAAGCAGTTATGCGCGCTGCACTACGAACCCGGCGACCCGAGTTCGATCCCCACTCCCGGCCACCAACACCGGTGACGATTATCCGAACTGGTCTTGGGGCCTCCCCAAGGTCGACTCAGCCTCAAATGAGTACCTGGTGCGATGTTTAAATATCGCCACTGGCGAGACAAAGCCGGCCGGCGCGTGGTGTTGGCCACCCACCCCCTCGTGAAAGGTCGACACAGTCACACAGGTGCTCGCAAATAGCACTTGCCCAAACAGTCTGTTAAGGCTACACGGGGGATCTTTGTCTGTGTGTGTGCAGGTGAGGAACCCGCGTGCGTCCACGCACCATTTGTGGAGAGCAGGAACTGGGCCGCATTCTGCTGCGGCAGCCACCGGATCTTGTTGATCTTCTCCTCAATCTCCAAGCTCTTCAAGTAGTCGAACTCGGGCTCGTGGCTCTGGAAGGTGCTGTAGACGTTGTACTCTCCGCGGTGCTGCGGCTGGTTTTTGCTCTGTGGGAACCGGCGGTCGTTACACATTTTAAGTATTTGTTTTTTTCCAGCCTTTCGTCTCTGGGTGTCACCGTTTTCAGTGAATGCAGTGTTCTCCATCATTTTTTGTGTTTGTCAGGGAAATGTTTCATACATTTTCTCATGTCAATAAAATGTTTTCTTATTGAGCGACGCGACATTTGGCGTGAACTTTGAAGAATGTCGAGAACCGTTTTGGGAGCGGCAGGGACGAGCAGGATGGAAACACTTTCCCGCTGTTGCCATTAACACAGTCTTGTCGCAGGGAAAAAAGATGCAATTCATTGAACCGGTGAATACTAAAAGACTTTAATAAGCAAATGGTGTGGGCGAGGGAGAGGCGGACAAATTATGGGGATCGCGGAAGATTTTACTTCTATCTGGAGCCAACATCTGCCATATAAATTTTCTGCTTTCATTGATTTATTTCGTATTTCCTGCTAGGAGCAGTGAAAATGGATTTTAAAAAAAATTTCCCTTTGCTTTCAAGAGGCGGGTAAGCTGACATCAAACATTAATTGGAGGCCAGAGGATTAAAAAGAACAGTTTAAACACAAAACATGAGTACAGTATTTAAGCAACCAATGCTCCTACTCCCTTATTCAATAAAAGCTTTATATCTTTATTTTTAGGAAAACATAACCACTATATCTTTTTACATGAAAGAAGACAGGATTAAGTTTTTTTTTTATTAGGCATGCTGCACTAAGTGTCATGTCCATGAGCAAATTACGAAAATATTTAAAACAATTCCTGCAGTCACGAAAGCTTTAAGTCAATATTTAAAACTTTTTTATTTTACCAGGTAAGGTCTAGTGAGTGATACAGCTCCTTTTCAGAAGCGACTTGGGCACAAATGATAGCTCCACGAAGTGGCGTATCGTTTGTAAGTTTATAGCAGCCAATGACTCTCAATGCATGTAGATTCTAAATGTGGAGGGAAAAGCCGGAGAAAAAAATCGACGCGACCACGGGGAGAACATGTAAACTCCAAATATACATGTGTCAGGGTAGAGATGGAACCCACGACCGCCTGCATACCAGGCGAGGGAGGTAACATCTCGCCACCACGGCACCCCTGGATAAAAAGACATGTCACTAAATTTAAAAAAATTATATTTGTCCAGGCCAGAGCTTGGCAGGACCAGATCCCCCACTGCTCCATTCACCAGCCCAGCCTCCCCCAGTGCCATGTACTTTTTCCAGATCAGCGATCGAGCAATTGGGGAGGTTAGACAAGGAATCAGATTTTGATTTAAAGCTTTCGTGACTGCAGTGATTCATATTCTTGGTTCTTTGGGTAAAGTCACGTTGAAGGGAAACAATAAAATAATATATATTTTATTATTTTTTTGTTCCCCTTCAACGTGACTTTACCGAAAGAACCAAGAATAAGGAATCAGATGTGAAGGTGCTGGGCCAGCCCAGCCCACGGAAAGCCAAAATCGGACCTCCAATCAGCCCGGTTTGCGACATACGGTGCGAAAGAAGTTCAACACACATACAAAGGAAAAGATTAACAATGCTGGGCAGGCCCAGGACTGAAAGATTTGTGTCGTATAATTGTAATTACAATGGTAGCGGGTAGGCTTTAGGCTTAGTGATAGAATGATCTTTTTTGCCTAATCCACCCAATCTGGCAGAGGCCACCTTAAGTTCTTATAGCGTGCAACGGGTGAATGCAATTCACACCAAAATTGCACTTTTGTGACCCAATGTGACCCCGTCAGGCTCGTTCAGAGGACGGAGTAAAGGATTGAGCGGAGTGTGACAGAGACGTGGAAGGACTGCAAAAGACCGAGCATGTTGCCAGGATTGAGTCTACATGAGCAATCGGCACGAACTTTAGCCGGGCACAATCGCAGCCCATTAAACAAAGATACCATCAGTTGGCAAACGCTAGCGCCAAATTCTGGTTCACCTTACCGTTGGCACACTCCAAATTTCACGCATCAATCAGCTCCGCAGCGAGTGGCCACGACGGTGGGCAACAAAAGCAAAGCAAACGGGGTCACATCTCAGGATTCCCCTCCAACCGACTTCTCAATTACTTGATTGAACCATTCATTAAACTAATGGCTTGCAACGTTAAATGTTTCATTATTCTCAGACGTTTAGCAGATGGAGATGTCAAGTTATCTATAAAACCTGCCGGATTATGGCCCTTGACGACAGGAGTTGTGCACACTCGTGTTTGGACGTCAAGGTGGTTGTGTTTGACAACGATATGGCAAGCTTTCGATTTAAAGCTTTCGTGACTGCAATGATTCATCTTCTTTGGTTCTTTCGGTAAATTCACGTAGAATGAGAATAAAATAATAAATTGATGAGACTGTCTGGTAGGACAGCGCTGTCCTACCAGACAGTCTCGTCCCTTCACCTGATGAAGGCCGCTTGTGTTGTGGCCGAAACGTCGTGAGAATATTATTGTGTTATTTTATTTTATCAATTTATTATTTTATTCTCATTCTACGTGACTTTACCGAAAGAACCAAAGAAGATATGGCAAGCTGTCTGGGCTACTCGCGAGAACGAGGAGAGAGTGCCGGGAGGAGGAGAAGCCCACTTCTTGTTGCACCCAAGGATGAGTGCATTCACCCTCGCTGGTACAAGGGCGTTGGACCCTGGAGCAAAATTAGGGCTGCCATGCATTTTCTTTTAACTTGGACCAACGGAGGTGCCTAGTGAACCTGTCGACTATTAGCTGCAACACTGCATGCTCAATTCTCCTGGGAAACCAGCTGTGCGTTGCTCCGCTAGTAAGTTGATAAAGATCTGCCCAACGTACGCACAAGGGCCTGTGTTTCCTTTCCCTGGCCTCTTCTCCAACTGCCTCTGACAGCGCCCGATCTCAATCCCCGGTGTCTCCGGCACAACGTTGGACTTCGTCGCGGCGCCAGAGGTCCCCGGGCCCTCGTAAGCTCTCGAGGAGACCCGGGGGTAGCGCGCGGCATCGAGGCCCAGGCCAACAACGGGCCCCCTCGGTCGTCCGGTGTCCACCACCCACCACCCACAACCAGACCTGGCCGAGAGCCTCGCGGTCGCTTGGGAATTGATGCACTAACACAATTTGCACTTCATGGCGTTTAGTTAAAAGGTGGATCAGGATAGACGCAGGTGTCTGTCCCTTCACAGACGGCCTCTCATGGTGAGGTAGCAGCACTATGAAGGAAGTTAACTGCTGTTATCCAATGGAGGGGTTCAGCATCACGGTGGCGAGATGTTAACTACCTCACCTAGTATGCAGGTCGTGGGTTCGATCCCGACCCTAAAGCTCTCCCCGTGGTCGCGTGGATTTATTTTACTCCGGGACTTCTGGTTTTTCCCTCCACATTGAGAAATATGCGTCTAGATTAATCAGATTATTTTGCTGCTATAAATTTCCGCATAAGCCACTTCGTTGTATGTATGTACGTGCGTAGCCAACCATGCCAATCGGAGGTGCCGGGGGAATGACAAGCAACTAAAAACACACAAAAATGGAAGCTGAGCTATCATTTGTGGCCACGACGCTCCTGAAAAAGAGCTATATAGCTCGGTGGGCCTTAGCTGGTAAAATAAAACCAGCTCATAGTTTTTATTTTAATAGCTCTGCCAAAAGGGTGCTGCATTTAATCCGCTGCCATGACAGCCGCAATGGGAATACGTAAGTCGGACGAAAGCGTAAACAAGCGTTGGCCCGCTGCGCTTGTTAATTTCGTGCGTGCGTGCGTGCGCCCTCTCACCTCCTGTTCTCGCTGGAAGATCACGACACGGCCACCCTTGTCTCCCGTCGCAAGGAGATCTCCCGTGTGGTTGAACTCTACTGTGGAGATTATGTCCGCTGTGGGCCACACAACACAGGAAGCAGAAAAACAAACGCAGCACCGTCAACACCTGTGCACAGTCACATGAACACCCCTCGCCCCGCCGTCCCCCCCCCACAAAGACAAAGATCCCCCGTATACCCTTAACAGACTTTCGGGGCAAGTGCTGTTAAGCGAGCACCTATGAAGGCCGGAACAGCACACGAGGGGGTGGGGTGGCCAGCACCACGCCCTGCCGCCATTTTCTCCCTGGTGTTGATGTCTACACATCGCACCGGGTACTCATTTGAGGCCGAGTCGACCTCGGGGAGGCCCAGGACTGGTGCCGATAATCGCCACTGGTGTTGGCCATGAGTGGAAATCGAATTCAGGTTGCTGGGTTCGAAACGCAGCGTAGCGCTAACCACTACACTACCCCCCCACTCGCACACCCACCCATTCACTCTCTCCACAAGCCACACGTTCCACGAAATATAAAACTGAGATTACATACGATTGCCATCAATATCATCACGAGACAGGCTATATAGCCTACTGGCAAAGTGCATTCACTCATGCAGCTGGCACAGATGACAGTTCCCACTGCTGAATGGAAACCTATATGGAAAATCAGCAACGTGTGCGCTCTGCTAGAACAAATAATATTTGAGGCCCCATGGCATGATTCTTCCGAGTTGGTTATTGTGTATTCCTGTCACAGCCCGAGTTAGAGGTGGTGAAAATCAGCCACGATTTTGTAGAAACAATAAAATGCAGAGCTTGTCCGAAATAATACGACAAAAAAGGATCGTAATTTGACCAAACACCAAGTACTTCACATCTTAAAATGAAAGTATTACAATAACTTAAAGCTTTTGCGACTGCAGGAATTCATATTCTTGGGTATTTTGGTAGTCACCGTAGATATTTTCAAAAAAAAGAACAAAAAAAACTACGACGTTTCGATCGCAACACAAGCGGTCGTCTTCAGGAAAAGGGAGGCTTAGCTTCCAAGGCAAACTGTTTATAAGGGGTTTGAAATGGGCGTAGCCCAAATTGTCAGCGGCCAATGATAATGTAAGTGGTGGGCAGTCCAATCCTACGGTGGTTGGTTTTCCACCAATCAAAGAGCTGCCAGGTGAAAATGAGCATGTTAATGAGAAATTAGCATTTTTCGATTTAAAGCTTTCGTGACTGCAATGATTCATCTTCTTTGGTTCTTTTCGGTAAAGTCACGTAGAATGAGAATAAAATAATAAATTGATAAAATAAAAATAACACAATAATATTCTCATTATTAATATTCTCATAATTATTTTATCAATTTATTATTTTATTCTCATTCTACGTGACTTTACCGAAAGAACCAAAGAAGAAATTAGCATGTCAATGGCAGATCGCAGAGCCGCAACGCACGGGTCGGCGCGCGAAGGGGCTGTGCGAGTGTGAATCCTGTGAAAGCGCAAGTTTGAAATGGGAGTAAAGCACAACTAACATCGGAAGGTGGTACACGATGGGAACATCATCGCCAGTTATGACTTAAACTGGTTGATAACGTCCTTCCAATGATTGTTCAGTTTGTACCCATCTTCACGGTTGAAATTGTGTCTGTGTCTATATATATATGGATGGCTTCATTAACGAATCTTGATAGCCAGTGGGCTTGCAAAGTACCTTCGTCCTAGAGAAATACATTTTGTGTGAGCCCACCGCATTAAAACAATGATCAGCCACGGCCGAGGTATTGGTCCTACCGTGTTTCAGATCTGCCTAACACGGTCCGAGACATGTCGCTTAGTTTCCCCAATGTAACTACTGCCGCAGACACAGCCTTAGTTTGTAGACGCCCTGGGTATGTGTCTGAGGCAGTGACTTTACCGAAAGACCCAAAGGGCATGAAGACCAAAGAATATTACAATAACGTTTCACAGTGACGTCATTTAACTCTTCACGATAGGATTCAGAACTATCGAAAGCATTCCACACTGTTGTGGGTTTTCCCAGTCGTTAGCTACGTGGTCACGGTGCCTCCCGAGGGGATTTGTCCTCCACACCGCCGTGAGTGACAGAAATCCGTGTCGCGTATATAACGTTTGCGTTGTTCATGACGGGTATCCAGTGCAAGCGGGCGCAGCAAACGCACATGTGGCAGTCAGTCCGCAACAGATGCTGGCAAACACCGAGACGACAGCCCTTTGAGGTCGAAACCCAGAGGCATCTCAAACAATGCATCTTAATTGCCCATTTAAGATGTTGTCAAGCTGCATGCAGAGCAGGGGGATTTCACGTAACCTGATTTGTTGTTGCTGTTGATTATTTTCAAGCAGTCAGAATGCAAGCGCCACACTGCGACTGTATTAACACAGTCACACGGAAGCGCAGCGGACAATCTTTCCGGTTTTAATCGACAACGCGGGTTTCACATCCAAGTGACTCGCACGCCCAATAGCATTGGTGGCAGCGGCGACGGCAGCACTCGGCGTTCGCCACGAAGTGGTGGTGGATGATGCTGTCGCGGTGCTAGCGCCAGGCAAGGTGAATTCTCGAGCCCTGCGTTTGGGAGGCAAGAGGCTCGCCAAGACTGAGATCGCAGAGGGCCAGGCCAGAGGCGGGTGCCGTGGGTTTTTTCAGGTGATGCGAGAGACCAGCAAATGTGTTGATCTGAGCGTTCTATTGTCGTCATAAAAACAACGGAAAGTGTCGCAAATCTCCAATGACTAAACTAAACAAGGAGGAATGAATGAGGGTGTTGAGAAAGGGATATAAAAATTAAATGATTTTGCGATGGTACATTAGTTTTATAAAGCGCCCCCGCTCTAAAATATATTTGAAAGATAAATTAACCGGACTGTAAACAGTTTATTATCAATAACAATGATGAAAAAAATAAATCTTCAACAATAAAATCTGACCGTAACGTCATCTGCCGATTTCATAAATGATCGATCGATTGACTTGGGAACGCACAGCTGCACCGTGGTTATTTTCTGCAAATATTTTGGTCAAGGTTGAACGAGTTGTTGCGAATCACGCTCTAAAGGTTGACACGAAGCAGTGCTTTGTTTCGTGCGCTGCACCGGCAGTGGCCTCCATTCGGTGCTCGGCTCAAAATAGAAAATGTCAGCAAATATAAAGCAGGTTTCCCTACGAGGCTGACATTTAAAATCTACATCATGAAAATTCTTCATTTTTATGCTGTGATGCTGCAATATGTTTTTTTCTATTTGCATAGCTGACCTTTGGGGTAAATAGAATGATATTGGGTTTTTTTTTTTCAGTATTAAAAAATAGTTGACAACTGTTACAATTATCTTGGGGCTATGAATGCCAATTTTTTTTCCCGAACATTTTAAAATACAAACTTTGTTATTGACGGTTTGACAGAAAGATGTAAAAAAAAACACGCACCCATCATGGAAGCGTAAGATCGCCGAAAGTAATTTCACAAAAACATTCCAGAGAAAGATACTTTTTTCAGTTACGGGCACTGTCAAACTGTTCCAGCAAAAACGATGACGAGTCACAGTGACAAAGTGCCTCTTTGCAGAGCATGACCAAGGCCGTCCGGCGGTGCCGGGTTGAAACGGCCGGTTGCAGTAACACCACCAAGCGGGTCAATGGCCGTCACCTTTCAGGTGGGTGAGCGGTGACTGCCTTCACGCGGTCCACTATTAAGTGACTCTAAACTCCAACGCCAACTCACGCCGTCACATCGGCCGAACAGCAAATTCGTTGCAATATTTCAGATCTGTTCCGAAAAGCGACGCTCTGCCGACAGTTTCCAAAACGAACATCTACAACTTCCACCACGTGCAATGCGAAGAGTGCTTATCTACCTAAAAAATATATTGCACAAGAAAAATAACGAATTCTGAATGTTACATTTTTAAAGATGGCCATTTTCGTGGCTCTGCTCTGAACATTCCCTCTACCCCGCCCTCACTCGCCCTCACCCCCCGCCCCTTGCGATGAGACAGCCAGGTCTGGTACCCAAGCACGGCTGGGAGGAATCGCGGGCTGCTGCAGCGCCAGGCCTGGAGGGGTGGAGCGTTCGCCATCAATCAGCCCGGCGGCAGATGCCATCACGGAGTCACTGGCAACAAAAAAAAAATCGGTCTGCTCCCTCCACAAATTGCGCCTCTCCCATGGCGCCTGCTTTTACGACTCCGCGCGGAAAATGGGAACATCGCGATGATTGAAAGCGAGTTCCAAGCGCAGAACCCAGAGGTTCAACCCCATCTCGTATTCTCCAGGAAGCCAAAGCACAGCCCTCAGCATGTCTCTCTTACTTGTAAAACTTTGCGCCTATTACAGCTATACAGCCCACAAGCAGAGCCTTGCGTCCCGGGAAAACCACGAGACAATTTCCCGCGGCGGTCCGGTGTTGGAGAAATGTGGTGGATGGAAACTTAAAAAAGGAAAAAAATATCTACATATCAACACAACGATTGTACGTACGTGTGATTTTACCATCTCCCAATCAAATTTCACTTTAAAGATCACATGACCAATCAGTATTTACGATCTATTAATACGGTCAAACTAGTTCAGTTAAACCGAGGTGCATTTTGTTTTAATTGAGCAACAGCTGCCACCACTCGTATGCGTAGCCTTGGGACCATGTTGAATGTGCAGATGGACGCACGCCATCACCTCACAAACACCGCAACGTACAGCAAAACTCGCATCCCTGTCCTCTGCTCCAGAGTGTGCGAGCGATTAGTTCGACTACAGTGCACGTGCTCACGAAAATCTTTCAGTTTACTTTACGTCAAATAAATAACTGTCGTACGAGCGCTTTGTTTTGCACGCGCATATGACCAAGACAGCTTTTGCATACGTATAGCATTGTTCACACTGCTCGTTCTGCGCACGTGTATCTGGTAAAGCATTCTCTCCCGCATTATGTCCACGAGGCTCTGCTTGCAGTAAAGTGGAAAGGTGAAGACAGAGAGACAGAGATGTCATGCTGATATGTACCCTCGACATTTGAGCCAAACCTTCGCATTGTTTCAACGTAACTCGATCAACAGAGAAT